ACCTGGGACTTGATGATCTTGATTTATTACTAGACTTGTGACCTGGATGCTGGAGGAGGAGGAAGATGGAGGAGGATGAAGATGAAGGGGGAGGAGGAGGAGGAAGATGGAGGAGGATGAAGAGCCAAACCACAGGGACATTTCTGGGCAGCTTTGGGGGAAACTGTGGCGGTCGATCGGGTCGGGTCGGGCTGCTCTGTGAGCGATTATGAGCATCCATGATTGCTGCTGCTGTGGTGAAGGAGCAGAACTATGTGTCGAGTCAGACTCGGCTCGGCAGCAGATGAGCCTCCTCCTGGGAGGCCGGCAGCTCTCCGGGGAGCCTCCGTCCTCCGTGCACACTAACGCAGGAGCGTGCACGAGGCGGGCTTTCCTCTGTGGACGGGCCTAATTAGAACAGGAGTTCTGACGGAACTAACGAGTTCATCCGAGAGCAGCGGCGTGAAGAAGCATCTGTCTGAGGATGGAAGGAGGAGAAAGAGCTCCTCTGGCAGGCTGGAGAAGAGCTACGAGTCCTGGAAGGAACACAGTGTGGAGCACAGGACCAATAAAAACGTCCATAAATTAATTCTAATCAGAAGACAGACTCGTTCTGAGGGAAGCCGGGGCACAGTCCTGACACGCAGGGGTTCTGACGAGTCACTAGTTAATTAAACTCTTAAATGTTTCAGCGAATCATGAGCCACAGTTTTCATGACAAGTCACCAAACATCAGGTTTTAAAACGTGTCTGAATGACACCATGACGAGCCAGAACCTGGAAAAGCTGAAGAGAACTGTAGACGTTTGGTTTGGTTCTGTCTGGAACGCTCACCAAACCTGAAACCTGACAATCAGGAAGTTCCATCAGAATCATGAAAACAAACCGTTTGGTTGAAAACAATCAAACTTTGTTGTTAATCTGAACGTAGGACTTGGTTTGAGAATTCTTGACTTGTCGGTCGACTCGGGAGTTGCTGGTTTTGACGTGTCTGTTGGGACTTGTCGGTCGTGGCGTCTTGCTCGACCCGGAAGTTGTCGATCTTGACTTGAAACTGGATGGTGTTGACTTGGGACTTGTTTAGGGACTTGACTGCAGGTCCTGTGTATCCAGCATGCTGTATAAATGACCTGAGCTGGACTTGGACCTGCTGGTTCTGGTCCCGTGTCTCCTGGTCGTTGGTGAACCAGTCTGTTGGGACTTTAACGAGTCTCAGCTCCAGGGTTTGTTCCCATCGTGTCTTCGTGTCTGTAAAGTTGCTGCTGAAGCTGCGGTTCCGTCGTTATTCGCTCCGTCAGAGGATCTGTCCGTCCAGAACCACAGAGTTCTGGAAACTCTCCGGGCTCCACACAGAAACATGCAGGAACGCTGCAACGCTTCCTCGCTGTGGTTCTGACGGTTTCTGCTCGACCCGACTCCACTCCGAGTCGTGAAAACCCAGCAGCTGCTGAGACAGACAAACAAACAAACAAACAAACAAACAAACAAACAGTCTTTATTCTGGATTCTAACCAACATGAGGGACATTCAGATCAAACCCATTTTACAGCGTTTTTCTACTTATTTTTTATTTGACTTGTTTGTTACAGTTCTCGGTGTTTTCAGCTGCCTTCATGCCTTTCGCCTGTTTTTCTGGTTTCAGGCTCCGTTTCCTTTCCTGGATGTCGAACCAGTTTTTTATAGAAAAGCAACAAAATTCATTATGAACTGTAGATAAATATAAAGACTTCACTTATCAAATACGTTCAGAGATAAC